TAGTGCAGAGTGCTCTGAAAGATCTCAGAGAGGCTTGGAGAAGAGTGGTGAGGAGTGATCTTACATTCCATGCTATTTTGTACTGTAGAGGAATATGTGTATTACTGAGGAATTAGGTAGAAGGTGGGGAGGATGTTTGATAAGTTTTTTCACTTTTTTTTTCAAATGTGTTTCTAGTTGTCGCTGGATCTTTATTTTATTTATTTATGCGTGGTGCTGAGACTCGAACCCAGTGCCTCACACATGCCAGGCAAGTGCTCCACCACTGAGCTACAACCCCAGCCCAAGTTTTTTACATTTAAGGATGCTAATAGTGGGCCAAATGTCATCAACATCAAGAATAATACTGATGATTATGAACAGCTTTTTCTTGAACAGACTTTATAGTTTAAAAGCAATTGTCGTTATATTATCTCTGAATTTTCTCAATAACTCTGTGAATATACTGTTATATATACCATCTATCTGTTCTATCCCTCTGAGCAGAGTCATTTTTATACTCTTGTTACCTATTATGGTTTGAATGTGAGGTGTCTCCCAAGAGCACATGTGTGAGACAATGCAGAAAGGTTTAGAAGAGAAATGATTGGGTTATGAGAGCCTTAACTCAATCAGTGAATTAATCACCTAGTGGGGATTAACTGAGTGGTAATTGAAGGTGGGTAGGATATGGCTGGAGGAGGCACATGGCATTGGGAATGTTCACTTGGGGTATACATTTTGTATCTGACAAGTTTAGTCTCTCTCTGCTTTTTGATCATCATGTGAGCTGCTTCCTTCTGCCACACTCTGCTGCCATGATGTTCTGCCTCACCTCAAGCCCCGAGGAATGGATCCAGCTGTCTATGGATTGAAACATCTGAAACTGTGCGCCCCCGAATAAACTTTTCCTCCTCTACAATTGTTCTGGTTGGTCCTTGAGTCACAGCATCAAAAATCTGACTAAAACATTACTTTTGAGGTAACTGAGGTTCACATAGTGTATCACCCACTTGATAAGTGACAGAGCCAGGTCAGAACCTAAGATTTCACTTGTCCCAATTTAGCACATCTACTTTTAGACATGGCTGTCAGGACTTAAAAATTAAACTGAATGTGTCAGGTTGCCACAATAAAGCAAATGGTTTGTTGTACATTTTTGAACATATTAGACTTTGGTTTCGTTGGTCTTGAAAGCAAGTAATTTGTATCACCTTTTTTACACCAAAAGCCAGACATCCTTCTAAATAGCAAGAAGGCAAATAAAAAAATCCATTCAACTTTCATGGATTATAGTTAGCAAGGTGATTTAGTGAGATTTATGAAAGCTAATTCTGTTTATGTGTGGCATGTTTGATTCTTGATATATTGGAACATTTGGTATAATGAATATGTATAGTACATATGTACCCATTTGAAAGAGCTCAGAGTATAACTTTAAGTTATTATAAAGATTTATAGTTGTTATATTTTTACTTTTATTGCATGTTGTTCATATCTATGACTCATTTGATAATGAGCCTTTGGCCAAAATTACCCCAATAATATGACTATTTCCCTGGGAAAATGCCACTTTGTGACATTGTTTCCAGAATACATTATGGCAAAAATATGAATAAGTAGAGAATAAATGGATCACACCTATGGACACAGATTTTTCTGATTTAACAGTTGTAATTGCAGATATGGCTGATCCCATTTTGTTTTCAATTAGTTATTTATTCAAATACCTTTTTTAAAAATCATCTTTAGTTTTTGGACTTGTTATGCTCTACTATTTTTGGAGATTTAGCTATTGCTTTTAGATTGGGAAAAATTAAGAAACAACATGCCCCATTAGGTTAGAATATTTACAGAGTTAGTAACTGGACAATATAGCCTAATAGAAGACATTAAGATAAAAGTAAGGGATATTGGGTGAGAAGCACTATATAGGCACTAATTCTATGATATAAGAGTTCCAGATGCTAGGAATTATTCAGCTCAGGGCATTGGAAAACGTTTTATGGAAGAGTTAGCATTGGGATATCAAAGATTGTACCTGTGATAATAGTTAAATAACATGGTAAGCTTAAGGATCTTATGAGCTATCATTAAGGTGTTTTGGGGAAAGACAGTAATATGGTTTAACTGGCTTGTGGGGCACATGCAGGTACTTTGTGACAGATAGTGAACACAGCTTTCAGTAATGGATACACACTACTTAGTTTGTATTTTATCTGTGAACAATAGGGAATCATACCTATGATTTTTCTTTTGTACAGGAAGTGGGATGATCTAATTCTTGATAGGACTATCCAGGTGTCAGCAGTTTGAGAAGTGGATTAAAATGTGGAATACAGGGAAGGGGGAGCTAAGTTAGGAGGCATAAAGTAATGAGGTCCTGTATTAAGGTACTTATAGTACACATGGAGAAGGGGAGGAGGAGAATATGAAAGTCTCTAGGAAGGTCGAATGGGCTGATTTGGCAACTTGATATAGGTATGAGAGGTGATTGAGCATGAAGAATAAAAAATAATTACTATCATCAAGTTTGGTTTACTAGAAGATACTATGAAAAGAAGTAAGGAAACCAGGAGATTGAGCTTTTTTAGATTAGAGGTATTAGTGATTTGAAAATGTTGGTCTAAGGTCTCAGAATCCACCCCATGAGTAATAATAGGAGGTGTGGAATTGGAAAAGTTTTCTGAGGGAGTTTATGAGAAAAGAGGAGGAGAAAGGAAAGAACTAGGGAGTCTCCCCAAGTCCCATTCCCACTTTAAGTTCTGCACAGCTCCTTCCTATTAAGAATTATGGCTATGGTGGGCCACTTTTACTTCCCCAAGCATCTTAGACCTGTGGTGTGTGTGTGTATCCATGACTGTATTTCCAAGATTTTCCCAGTAATAGCATCACTCTTAATTACTTGTATTCCGACATGTTTCTTGGAGTGGGAGAAAAGGGGTGGAATAAGTAACTGCCTTTAGTCATTGCACTTATTTGATGTACACCCACATCCCTTGGTTATGTTATAGCAGAAAGTAGGTGGCCATTCACTGTTGTAGGCAGTAATTGGGGAGCCTAAAGGCACTGTGATCTGGAAAGTTTAGGGAACAAAAGAGATTACTGAGGAGAATAAACAGACCATTGATCAGAGGAGGCTCTATATTATTTGGAAGTTTGAAATTGGGTATACCATGAAATAATGAATAGTATGAAGCCTAATGGTAATTTGAAAAAAATATTTAGTAAAAGAATCTTGTTATTGGCCATAGCCATATACTTAGTGAATAAATTTGTTCACTGTACATTGATTTTTATCTGTTCTAAATGGATAAAAATTTCAGTTCAATGCTACGAAATTTTATACAACTGGAAAAGGAAAGAAATACATTTATTCCTTTAATACCAAAGGCTGATATTGTGTCATAGTACTAAAAGTTATAATGCCACCTTCAAATTGTTAGTGCAAATTAATTTTAATGATGACTATTAAGAGAAATGTGTTTGATAATCTGTAATCTGATCTTGGAAGCAGGGTCATTAACTCAAAATAAGAACTTTTTTTGATTCTGTCCCTCTAATTCTTGCCCTGAATAAAACCACTTCTCTTATGTAATGATTCTGGGTAATTTAAAAGCTCATATTATTTGAATTGTTACATTTCAAATCTTCAATATTTCTCAGCTGAACCAATGTAAAAAATATAAAATATAATGTATGATTTGATTTACCTGCAAAAAGTGTCTTAGCCTTTAACAAGGACATTCATGTTTCTTAAAAACAATAGTCCAGAATGTTGGAATGTTGATGATCTATTATGGCTCTGACCCTTGGTGAAAAGACCGAGGCCCGAGTCAGCAGACTGTATTAAACCACAATAGTATAAAAAGCCAAGTAGCATAATTTAGCTTTGTCAAATATTGAAGAATGTATTTGCATAGGAGAAATCTGTGCTAAGTAGATTTTCACTTGGTAAGTATCTTTGCCTCATTTTTAGGTTCCTGAATCTATTTTTAAAATTTCTATCTTGTGGTTTTAAAATTAATCTGTCTTTATACACTCACTGAAAGCCTGGAATTTTGAATACTAGTTTTGAATATTTGCCAAAACTGAAACATAGCATTGGAAATTTACCTTAAAAATAGAAAATTTGTAGGCATTTTGGGGGTTTGCAATGATAAGTATCCCAAAAGGTTTACTGTGAAATATTTAAGTGTTATCTCAGATAAACATTTTAAAATTTATTTTAAATATATGTACAATTCTGGGCATGTGGCACATGCCTCTAATCCCAATGACTTGGGATGCTGTGGCAGGAGGATGACATGTTTGAGGCCAGCCTCAGTAACTTAGCAAGACCCTTTCTCAAAAAAAATTTTTTTAAACAAAGACTAAGGATGTAACTCAGTGGTAAAATGCCACTGGGTTCAATCTCTAGTACCAAAACAATAATAAAAAATATGTACAGTAAAATTTATTCTTTTTGGTGTATAGTTTTATATATTTGATAAACTTCTATCACCCTTAAAAAAACTCCTTGTGTTCTGATCCTTCTTCCACTCACTCTTATCCCTTGGCAACCATTGATCTGTTTTCTATTGCTGTAGTTAAGCATTTTCTGAAATGTCATATAAATTGAATAACACATACTGTGTAGTCTTTTGAGTCTGGCTCTTTTCACTTAGCATAATGCATTTGTGATTTCCCCATGGTGTTGTATTTACCTGTAGTTTATTATTTTTTATTGTTGAATAGTATTCCATTTTATGGATGCTCTATAGTTTATTTACCAGTTTAGGTTTAATACATTGTGTCTAGTTCTGGATGATTATGAGTAGAGTTCCTATACACATTCACTAATGGTTCTGATAATCTAAGGGTGAGATTACTGTGTGTAATAAATATATATTTAACTTTACAACAATTTGGTATCCTCTTTCCCAAGGGGACTGCACCATTTTGCATTTGACAGTTCAGTTTCTTTGTATACTCGAAGCATTTGATCACTTGTTATTGTTAGTTTTTTTTTTTAATTTTAGTGATTCATTTTTGTTGCAAAGCAGCTAAATCTCAGCCAGTCACAACATTCAAGCCTCAGCCAATCATAGACTGCAGCTGATCAGATCATGCCCATATAAGGTAAGTGCCCATGCAGCCTGTCAGGTTGTGTTTTTATGCCACATCCTTTTCTCTGACTATAAATGTAACCTGTACATGTGGTTGGGGTACGGCATCTTTGGTCTGGAATGCTGCCTGGTTCTGGAACCTTTTGTTGTTGTTGTCGTTCACGAAAACTGTTAAATTTAACTGGTCTTAGGCTTTCTTTTAACAATAGTAGTATCTCATTGTGATTTTTGCATTTCCCCAGTGACTAATGCTACAGAACATGTTTTCGTGTGCTTATTTACCATCTGTGTAACTTCTTTGTTGAAGTGTCTTTCAGATCTTTTGTCCTCTTAAAAAGTTGGGTTTATTTTCATATTGGTTAAGTTTTATAATTCTCTATATAATCTGAATTTAAGTTCTTTGTCAGATATGGAATTTTCCAACTTGTCCCCCACTCTGTGGCTTGTTTTTTTTCATTCTCTTAAAGTGTCTTTTGCAAAGCAAAAACATTTTTAATTCTAGTGAAGTCCAATTTATCATTTTTTTCCTTTTATGGATGATGCTTTTGGTAGTATATCTAAGAATTCTGTCTAGCTTAAGGTCACATAGATTTTTCCCATATGTTTTCCTCTGAGAATTTTATAGTTTTACACTGACATTTAAGTCTATGGCCCATTTTGAGTTAATTTTTACATGAGATATGTGTCTAGGTTCTCTTTTTGCCATTTGGATTTGTGCCATTTGTTAAAAAGACAGTCATTTCTCCATTGACTTGTCTTTGCACCTATGTAAAAAAAAAATCAATTGACTATAGTATTTATGTGGGTCTATTTCTGGATTCTCTATTCTTTATTGATCTGTATGTCTTTCTTTTTGCCAATACCACACTGTCATGATTATTGTAGCTTTTTAGTAGAATTAACTCTTGACCATCTGTGCTAGAAAGAAACAAATTCTGTGAAGCACTTTAGTAAATTTCAGTTTCAGTTTTCTTATTAAAGCAAATAAATTATTTATAAACAATTCCAATTCCTTCAGTCTTCATTCAGCTTATATGTTGATTGTAAGCTCAGGATAAATTATAGCCATATTACTTTTATTTCTTCCCTGGATTGACAAAGACCTCCATGCCCTATGACATTTAACTTGTGTTTTTCCAGCATCAGAGTCAAAGAACAAAAGTTTTCAAAATAACCACCTACTAAACTACTATCTGCAGAAGTTCCTTTGACAGCTTCACAGGGAGCCACCACCTCTATAGACCCTACCACTCTGCCTGAGCAGGCTGGACAGTGGCGACACCTTACCACCCATTGATAACCAGCTTCCTGTCTGGTGGACACGCAGTTGGTGGGAACCAGCTGTTATGATTCATCCCATTTAAGATTTCTGCCTTTTGAAAAGTGACGCTAATGGAGCTAGACTGAATGGTGTCTGATTGGGAGAATTTTCTTTATGAAAGCAGTTTGATTTCTAGTGCCTCTGCAATTGAACTTTTTTTTTTTTAATTTTTCACAGATATGCTCCAATTTCCAGTTTCTGTGTGAGCTCAGTGTATAGATAAATGTTATTTTCTTCAAGTGTTTATACCGGCTGTTATTTCTTTCTGAAAAACAAACAGGCATGGCAACTTCCACCAAAAGAAAAAAAAATCATTGTATTACCTATTCTTTATTAGTTTCACAAGCTTTCTGGCTTTTGATAGTCCCTCAAAGACCCCTAGTCCCCTCTTCAAGATTTGATTTGTTACATTTGGATTAGGTAGAAGAATTTTTGAGCGCTTGAGGACATAGCTTCACATATCTTGAGGGCATGGCCTTTCTTTTGGGTTGCTGAAGCTTATTTCATCCTGTTTTGTTTTGTCAATTTCTTACTTTTGTTAGATAGTCTTATGAAGATTATTTTATAAAACAGAATATTTGCTAAGGGTTGAAGCCATTTATAATCATAGGAATAAATTTGTAAAAATACTGAAAAGAGAAAAGAACTATATAACAAGAATATGCTTTAAAATATTGATAAGGGAAACGTATGCTGGTTTTACTTAAAATTACTTAAAATTAACATTGCCCTTACTTTAGAGAATACAAGAGAACATACCAAAGGAGGAGAATAGTTGTGATTAAGTTTGGAACAAACCAATCATGGTATTGGTATTCTGCATAAGGATTGGTTATTAGTAGCCTTGTACAGCATCACTATAAAAATCTCTGCTACAAATAGAACCACATACCCTAATATAGGCAAGTCAGAGTGTGTTTGGAAAACTAAGAAGTGCAATACTAGAAATTTCAATATTTTATAACATTTGGTAGTTACAGGTAAATTTTAGCTTTGAGTTGGTGACACCTTGGAGCCGAAGCTCTGAAACACTAATGTACATAGAATCAACTGGGGAGCTTGTTAAACTTTAGATCCCTGGGCCCCAGCCCTCAGAGGTATGGATTTAGTAAGTGTGAAAAGTGGCTAAGAATCTGCATTTTAACAACAGCCTCATTGTTTGATCCCTCAGTCATTTCTCCAAAGGTCACAAGCATCTCCTAACAAAAACTATTGCCCTTCAACTGAATTTAAAAAATATTCTTTCACCTGGCACAGGTGTTATGAAACTTAATGATGATTGAGCTTCAGAGTTCCAAAGAGGTTACTAAGAATTGGTTTAGAATCCCTAGGTGTAAACTACAATATAACATTCAATGAACAGTATACACAGACTTAAGTTAGAATTTCTTTCAATTAGAAGTTATTAGTTACACAATTTCCATTTCCAGGTCATCTGTGCATCCACAGATGGTATTAGGGAAGAGAGGTAGACCAGGCATAGATACCTAGGGAATTTCACAAGGTTCTTTTATAACCATTTATTGCCTACTGTGCCCTTAATGAAGATACTCAGGATCCCATTAAGTTAGCTGTGAATATAGTAATTGGTCCCCTGACAATAACCAAGGGGAGTCAAATCCTGTGGCTCCACCCTATTCTGGTTATGCTGGCAAGGAGAGAGAAGCTGTTGCCTGTAATCTTCAAGGGCACTTTCCTTTTTGTGGATAAAGCACACTGTACTCCAAAGGACATTTCTCAAAACACAGCAGGAGTCCCTAGAGAACCCTCCTCCTCTAATTCACACAGGCACTTATGACCTACTTTTAAAAGTAAATTGAAAATCCCATCAAACACAAGCAATCAAAATCCACATTTTCCACCAGCTATTCTGTAGACCTAGCATGTACTATTTCCAACTGCCCATATCAACAGCTTAACTATATTTTGATTAGGGACTTTCTCTATCTTTGTTGATAATAAGATAAAATGGTGTCTGAAGTCAAAGCAGTAGCACAAATTAATCTGATGTAAGTTGGTTCTTTCTGCATGTAGGTAGCATGTGGGAATCAGATTTACTAACCTGATATTTATGTTCAAAGTACTCAAGTTGGAATGAACCCTGTACTTGTGGTTCATGTATGTACCTGGCCTGTGAAACTCTTCTCAACTTAACTTGTGGGATCTCCAGTTTGCATTCTTTTACTGTCTTTTAGATTATGGCCTGAAGATATCCTTATTTCAGCTGAATACTCATTCCTGATAATCACTAGCCAGACTGCTTGATTTTAATAGTTTCAGGTGTCTTTTATGCAATTTATGTCACCTATCTTATTTGCACTGGTGTCTTTAACTTTCCCTAAAATCAGTCTGCATAGTTTGCATTCATTCATCTCTGATTATATTTTATCCAATAGAATTCTACAGAACCAGGAAGTGTGTGGTAGGCTGAAGGCTCTGGGAAGATAGGTTAAAAGGCTCTGAGAATGGATGTTAAAATCCAAGCTGTAATAGAACCTGGGTGTGATGCTGGATCTGCCACTTACTTCATTGTCTGACTGGGTTAAGTAAATTTACCCAATAAGCCTCAATTCATCACAAGTAAACAGAAGGTAACAATAGTACCTATGTCATGGGTGAAGTATTAAATGATTGAGCATAAATAAAAATACTCAGAATTGTGACTAGCACACATAAAATAGATACCATGCCTAAGCCCCATCCTGAGATTTTGAGCAAATTGATCTGAGGTAGGGCTGAGGCATCATATGTTTAAAAATTCTCCAATTTAATGTGTGGCTAGTATTAATAGTCACTGAGCTACATGATACCCAAAGTCTAGATAGATAAATAGTATCACAGGATTCTATGCTTATTCTTCTTGTCCTTTCTACTTTTTGGTCTAAGGAACATTGTAGAAAAGCAGTTATTTAAAAATAGTTGAAAGCAGGATGCATTAACAGAAGTATACACTGGATACACTTTGTTATGGGAGATTCTTCATGATTCTAACTAAGTCAAGCAGTTTTTCAATTGAAAAGTAACTCACTGTCTTACAACATACAGAAATCTCTGCCTCACAATGTAATATGGTTCAGTTAACAAAGTCAAGAAATATATGCCCATGTAGAACAGAAGAGGAAATGAACTGGGTGTTTGGAGTCTGGTGAGCTGTAATGAATTGGGTTATCAGGTGGCAACTTAATTGTGTTATTGAATGAATTAACACTCCTTAAAAGTGGGAAATTCACACTCAGATTTATCACTCTTTTCAGTGAACTGGTGGAAGTATCCAGAAGATCAGAGTACATTTCTGAAAAAAATTTAAGTGGTTCATATTAAAGAATAATGGCTATCAGAAGCATTAGGGCCTAACCTATAATGTTGTTAATGTTCCCTATAATATTCCCTGCAGACAAACTAGGAAAATGTAGAGAAGTAGAAAAAAAGAAAATTAAATCATCTGCGAACTCCATAACCTAAAACGTCATTACTAAGAAGCATATACCAATCTTTCCCAGACACACACACACACACACACACACACACACACACACACACACACACACCTATATACAGAGAGATCTATATCTATATCTATATCTAGACATTTATGCATTCATGGGTATAAAATTCAGGTCATGCTACAGGTAAAAATGTACATTTATTCTATTACTAAAATCACTAAAAGTACCTTTCTAGACAAAATTATT